CATGGTTGAATCATGTTGAATCTATCATAATCTACGTTGTTCTGCACTACAAAATTGACACTCAATTCACACAAAAAACCTCGTCCGCCAACGCCATGACGCCAGCATTGTTACCTCGAGGTTCAGATGCTTCACTTAGATCCAACTGGAAGACTGGTCAAATCCCGACAGAACTTTTCAATCTTCACTGGGGGTGACATGGTCATAGAAATCCCCACTATGAAACCATCCGTTCCCTTGCTCCGAGCCACACAACACGTCAATGCCGGTGTCTCCAAACATCGCCTGAAAATTGGACATGGAAACAACTGAAACTGCTGAAATATCCAAAACAGGTGAAAAATCCAGCCAGTTTAGTTGGTTGAGACGCAAAAAAAAAAACCATGGCGATTTGGGGATGATTTCCCGAATCCAATTCCTATCATTCCAGTGACACATTGAGGTCTTCTTTGATCCAGGTGATATATTGGAACATGTTAAGTATAACGTATAACTATATAACCATATTAACCAGGTACGTATATATATATATATAATATTCACCATACATCATCCATAAACATCGATTTCATGTCATTCTGCTGTTTTTCGGGAAAATCCTTGTGATACAGGTAGTATACATCGAGAATGGAAAAACGACAGAAACCCCATGGATTCCTTCAACTTCTCTGCGCAGCCGCGGACGCTTTCGAAACTTTGCAGATCGCATTCCACGGAGGTCACCTGGCGATGCTAGCGCCGGCGATGATGGGAAAATGCCGGGAAAATGCTGGGAAAATGGGCATTGCATGGATGAACTTCGCAGTTTTCTTGGGACAAACATGGGATTTGTATGGATTTGTGATATTGTAACCAGATTCCCCAAATTTTTAAAACACATATTTCACACTTCACAATCTTCACATATCTTCAACATATCTTCAACATGCGAAAAATTGATGCCACCTTGGAACCCGGTGCTTCTTCCAGGAGTTTCTTCTCGGCTTCCTCCGCCCGGCCACTCTTCCGGTTCAACATCACCACATGGGCACCTCACCAGGGCTCACCAGGGCTCACTTTCACATGGCAATGGTGGCAATGGCACACAACTGGATTTCAGAGAGCCTATTTTGGACCACAACTTTTCACTGCCGCAGGTTTCTCAGGTTTCTCTCTTTTTTTTTGAAACGAAAGGGAAAGTCTCTCTCCCTGTCAGCCTCGACTATGACCCAAATACCTTAACCACTAAAATCCATGAGGTCCTCAGCGGTTTAATCACCCAAACACATAAAGCTGGTCACCATGGTCACCGGCCTTTCTTGGCCATAGTCTGTGCCGCCACAAAGCCAGTGCCTGCAGTGTCAACAAGATGTTCATTCGGGGAATCATCACAAACACGGGAGAGAAAATTGTAATCTGTACTGGCTATATACGTTATATATATATATGTATATATATATAATTTCATACATTAATATACATCAATATTCAAATTGTACTAGGGAAGTCCATTTGTCTTGGACAACTGGTACCAACGTTACACAACTTTGGGTGATTTGGGTGATCAAAAAAGGCTGCTTCCATCGTGAATTCACCCGAGGATCGTCCCTGCCTGAGGTACAGCCCGTGACAAGGACGACCTTGCCTGCGAGCCACCAAGGCGTCTTGGTGATGGGTGAAAGAAGACCCAAAATCTGCCTTAAACAACATCAAACAACAAAAAAACAACTAGTAATCTAGTGATACTATGTGATACTGTAACAAGTCTAGAATTGGTAACACCTCGGAACCTGTCTAGTGATGGCTTCAGATTTGACATCCAACGGTTTCATCATGGCTTCTCACCTTCCAAGGATGGCAACTTGCCGGCAAAGTCATGGAACCACTTGGTCTCGATCTTTCGTGGCTCCTGGGGATCCGACCAAACGTGGGATTTCAATGGAAATTCGATAGGATTTCTACTTTTTTTTGATAGGCAATTCCTGATAGGAAACATGATTTTCCACTTTTTTCAACATCTACATCAATTCATTTGGGATTTCTACTTTTTCTGATCTTAACGGATCTGAATGGAACTTGTCCATGGAATTTTAATGGGATTGATCTATTTATCCATCAATTATAGGGGGTGGTGTCAACAAACGTACGGTTTCATCAACATAAACCGTGGGATTAGTGCCAAGATAAGGATTTGATCAACAGCTGGTGATAAACCATGGCCATTTTGAGGCATCCCCCTTTTTTCAGCCCCTGTTTGGATGAAAGAAGTTCTCCTTGTATGAGCGAGAAGATGCGCCACAGCCCATCTCAACTGACAGACTCAGAGATTTTCCGGAGCCAGAGAATTGCTGCGCAAAATGCAGGTCTTGGTGGGGTCGTATCAAAAATCAACCAATCCTTCGCTGAACTTCAAGTGATAGTTACTAGCTGTCTTGGGAATAGTTTGGTCGCAACTTCCAACGGATTGGTGCCAGGATTTTGGGACCTAAACTGCTAAAACCACCGTCATCGTGCTGTCCAGATTCTCCTTACTTTTTGACTTTTTGCCACCTATTTCACCACCTATTTCATCTATTTTCGATTCCAAAACGCAGAACTGCTAGAGATCACAAGCCGTGCACCACATTTTTCAGCCTGATGTCTGCCGGATGGCGGGCGCCGTTGAGGTTCGTCTCGCAGAATATCGGCGCGGCACTCAGAACAGGGCGAACTGCTTTCGCGCGGAACCGAAAATCTGATTCTTGTCCACCTGGCGATCGATGTTAACTCAAATCTGCCAATGGCTGTCGAAAAAGGAGTGTACCCACCAATTGTGGGATGGCTTTCGGGCAATCCTCATTTTTGGCCACAGCGCATATAGGATCATTTTTTTATCAGCATCAATAAACATGAGTTGCCATCAATTAAGATCATTTTTTTACCACCTAACCAACATCAACAACTATTAATCGACATTCATAAAAACTACCATCCTACCCCATGAGCATCAACTAATCCCATCCTGCTAATATCAAACAATTCCCTGAACTGGGCTACCAAACGAGTAGAAGAAATACACAGCAGGCAGTTCTTTGGGGGCATTTATAAGGTATTTCATGTGGGGATTTGAATCAATTAACATCAAACAGGTAACCATCAATTTTTTCATCAACTGCATCAACTAGCATGAATCTATAAACATCTATAAAGATCTATAAACCATCCATAAACCATCCATAAATCTTGATCCCCCTAGCATTTGAAGCTCCGTGTGATGTTCCAGCCTTGATCACATTGAAGCGCACCGTCTTCGCCAAGGGTCGGCACTGCCCTGCGGTGATGATATCTCCCTCCTGGCAGCGGCGAAGTCGGGGAAAGTCGGGGAAAGTCGGGGAAGTCGGGAAAGTGGAAGATCTAGAGGGAAAAATCAGAAGAATCATAGGAAATCATAGGAAATCCTCCCATCTTTGGTTTGTTCAGAGCCGTTTTTGGCGATCAAACTCATCATTGAGCGGCTGGTGAGCGGCTGGTGCAATCGGCCATTTCAGCTGGCAAACCCAACTTTTGGTCGTAGAATCCCTTGCTAGTCCAAATCCATTTCTTGCTGGGAACTCCATTTCTAGTAAGTAAAATTCTCATCATTAAAAAAACACCTACAGATGTCTTAAATCCGATTTTCTCTGCCCCCACAAAACAAAAAGAAAAACAAGATATCCTCGGAAACCGAGATACCCCTGGTAACTTAAAAGTCTATGGAAGTCATCATTTTTTGATACGGTAAATGGTCGAACAAAAGGGGCCTTGGCTTCCAGTTTGCAAACTGTAACAAATTACCGGAGAATCATCATTTTCTTCACGATATCCCAATTCTATATGTATGTATACCCATTATACCCCACTGTCCCACTATTTATCTTGGTTGAATCCCGTTCAATCATCATTTATATCATATCCACTTATATTCCTGATGTGGTTTGCACCCAATGCCATAGTCAACATCCCATCAACCAACCATTCGCCTGGGGGTCATTAAAAACAACATCCCATTGCTGGTACTATGAATGGTCCCAAATGTTGTTTTTAACGGCTGCCCGACATGAGAAAACATGACTTGGTCCCAATATGACTTACTGGTGCGTTTTACGTAGGGTTGCTGGATGGGTTGCTGGATGGGTTGCTGGGGTAATGGGATGATGACATTGCTAGTGATGACTGGGATCATTCCCGAAAATTCCCTACGTTTAGCACCAGTGAGATGAGTAAAATCGATGCCATACACCATCCCCGTTTCATCACCATGGCTCTAGTCATGCCACGAAACCAACCATCCCCATTGGTGGTTGCAGACGGCTCCTTAGGTTCGAAGGCCGGGCTGCAGTGGACCGCCATGTTGCTGTGCCTGGGGAAATCTCCGTGGCTTGCGTAAATCCCTATGAAGAGGAAAAGCATGGGATAAAGACATGGGGAAAATCATCGAACTCAATGCGTGTTCTTGGTTTTTTTGGATGATTTGAATGGATGTCAGATTATTTTTTTTGGGTGACTTAGCGTTGCACCAGCAAATATCAGGAATTTTACCAACACAAATGGTGATCAACGAAGATTTAGCTAAGAAGAATGTGGATAAAATGGGGGTCTAACTTTGGAAAACTGAGGATTTATCAAATGATAGTTGCTGATTGGAACAATTTGGAGCAACAAACGGTTAGCCAATGGAGTTCCAGCCACCAGATCAGTGGAATGTCTTTTTCCTGTGCGCACGGATGCTTCAAGTCATTGGATTTGGATCGGACATCACGTCCGGTCAGGCGTTGTCACGCTGTCAATCAAGGAATCAAGGAGGCAGAATCGGCATCCATGGCAGGACGCCACGGAAAAAGCCATGTTCGCTTTACGGCCGATTCTTGCCCAACACTCAAGAAAACCATGGCTGGAGTTGATGACTTGGCAATATCAAAATATATCACATATCATCCTGGAGTTGATAGAATATCCTAAATTTTCAATGTTTGGATTATCTTCCTGGTGAGGATTTTTCAATTCTACAGAGTTTTAGCTTCCATCTACTGTATATGTTGATATCCAAAGTGCATTTCGATCGCTACTCCCACTGTGGCTTTTTGAATGGAAACGTCTGGAACAAGGCTCTTGGCGTAGGAGCCTAGCTCTCGCCAATGCCATCTGCTACCAAAAGAATCTTGAGTCGTTGTGCACTGTGTCCCTGCATGGTCCAGGAGGACTGCTATCATTGCTATCAGCAACAGTGCAACAGAAAGGCTCCAAACCTCTCCGCCATTGAAATTGTTGACTCACCAAATATAGCAATTTTGCGTGCATCATATTCTGCCATGCCTCTAGTGAGACTCTAGTCACTTGCCACTTCTCGTGTCACTCGTGTCACTCGTGTCACTTAGTGCACAGCATTGTTGCCGGCGGCATCCAAAGGTGTGCCATCCACCAAATATCCCACATCCGCAGCGTAGGCGGATGGAGGCAATGCGGAGCCAGGAGAGTGTGGATCAGGTCCAATGGTTTCCTTACTGGGAATCGGGATCTCAAACATTGCAAGGATGAACTTATATAACTATAATATTAACAAATAAAACCCAAACATTGCAATATAACTAACATATCTAATATAACTATAACTAATAAAACCTAGATCATTTGATTAAATTTGATGAACAAAGCTTCGAGAAGTGGACATCCAGATACTCTTTGCTTCACCAACCATACCCTTGATGGACCATATGTCAGCCCAATGTCCAAGCTTTGGGTGTAGCCAACAAACTGGGGGGATTTCACCATCAGAAAATGGGGTGAATTCGCCATGTTTATGCCATGTTTATGCCATGGAAATGCCATGAAATGCCATGAATGTCAACCGATAAACCATGTTGAGCAGCCGGCCCCGCTTCACCATGTTTCACCGGCCAAGTGTCGGGATGGTTGATGCAGTTGCCGGCCTTGTTCATCGGGGTGCCGTCGGGCAAGTAGCCCACATCATTCACAAACAAGGCGCGGGGCAGGGGGGAGCCTCCCAGGTCGGGCGATGGTGGTGGAAAAAACGGCAGAAAACTGGAATCCCAACCACGGAAAAACAAACTTATGTAATCTTATGTAGGATGTTTATTTCCCCAAAATGATGATAAAGTACTTTTTGAAATTGGTTCCCCCTGTTAGTAAACGGGTGATTTATTGCTCCTAAACCTTTACTGTTCTAAGGCCACTCCAATAATCGCATTGGCTTGGCAGGCTGGACTCCCCGTGACATAATGGAACATATCACCATGGGTCACCATGGGTCACCATGATCCCCCAATCTTCCCAAAAAATGCCTGCCGCACCGGTGCACCTGGAGCATGCGGATCTGGTCCAATGGTCTCTGGATGGTTGATGCAGTTGCCGGCGCGATTCATGGGTGTGCCATCTGGCAAGTAGCCAACCTGCGTGTTTCGTGGGCACCGTGGTACCTGTTTGACCACCCCATTCCATATGGCCATCAATTGGGGATGAACATCACCCATCAGACAAAGCCATGATTGCCACATAGGTCTTGGTTACTGAGGTTACTGGCTGTCTCCCTCGAGTTGTGAGTTGTCGCTTTGCAAAGCCATCGATTCTTTGCTAACATTCCCAAGGCCAAGCTGCATCATTGCCGAAGGTCAAGTCCACGTAGGCATACTGGGACACAAAAAAAATCTGCCCTTATGGATAGGTCAATGGAGTGCTTGAATGGATAGTAGAAGGATAGATGGATGGTAAAATTAATGGTAAAATGCTGCTGTCCATTAGGTTTGTTCTGGATGTCCTGGGAAAATCACTGGTACCATCTGGTTATTTAACATAGCCATGGAAAATGACCCATTTATAGATGGTTTACCTATTAAAAATGGTGATTTTTCATGGCTGTGTTAAATAACCAGATGGTAATTCCAAATCTGATGGTTTTGGGCCATGTCCATCGCCTTCTGCACCGCGTATGCAAAGCCGATGGAATGGCGCACAGGGCTGGTTTGGGCCTTGGCGCGGTTGGACATGGAGGTGACGGATGGGATCGCTGGAAAATCATACTGATCACAATGCTGCGAAAGATCCCGACTCTGACATGTTTTTTGATATGTGATGGGTACATATATAGATATGTCAAGTTCCTTCAAAGTTCACACAAAAACCTGACATCAACACAGCCATATAGTCTGACATTTGCTATGGCAAGGTTCATGTCACATATCATCCGAAATATTTTTTGCAATGTACTCTGACATTTGCTCTAGCAAATTTTGCGTGATATTTATATTATGACAACAACTCTCACTAGTAGTTTGGCATCTGATATGGCAAACTTCATGCGACATATAGTCTGAAAATTATTCTGACATATTTTCTGGCATTTGTGTTGTGATGTTTTGTGTAGGATATGTTCCTTTTTGACCCTCAACCAACAAACCATCATTTATGAATCTTATCGCCATATTTTTCATGATACAAAAAAAATCATCTTAAACCCCCAAGTTTGGGTGATTTCTCATGATTTATCATCCAACAAATCCCCAAGTTGCGATAACTCCCCCCGGGGCAACTCACGGTGACTCCACCGCGCGACGGAGGATCCCACGAAGGCAGCAGCGACCGGCACCGGTGCAGGCGTAGCGGGCGTAGCTGCAGGTGGAGCAGCGCCGCCCTGGAGGTGACAAAACAAATATTGCTATTATATTACCAACAATATATAGTAATATGTTGTTACTATTATATAATATAGTGTGATAGTAATAGTAATTACTATTATAGTAGTTTTTTGTTGGGTCAAATTACTAAACCAAATAATAGAGTAACGGTATAGAAATAGTAATGTGTTCCCGAATAGAATTGAAAATGACAGAAACGGAACAAAGCAACTGCGCCGGTCAGTCAGCACCTTTTGTTATGCAGTTGGCTTTGCGGCTGTGTTTCTGTCAGATGCCAATCGCATCAATCACAAATGGTTTCACAGAAACTCTGAACTGCAGTGGTGGTGTCACACGTCAAAATCCACCCAACCCGCCGGAGCGTGTAGCTCGCGCAAGTAAGGAAAGGAAAAAGAGGGTTGCAGGTGAGAAAACACCACTGTACACCATAAAGTCAGCCGCAACCACCTGGCTCCCGAAGGACCTTAGGTGGCATGAGAGTCGGTCTTACGACGTTTTGAATTGCCTGAAAAGGTGGGGACACTCATCTGGTCATCCAGAAGGGCCCAGAGAAATTTAAAATGGGAAAAAGCTTCTCTCACTGGTAGTCGTCGATCAGGATGAAAACCAGTGAAGTTCGGGTGGGTGAGTTCGTCCGCCCACTTGTTGTAGTCCCGCTTCATGTGTGAAGGCGCCAATTGAACCCCAGCAACATAGAGCATGGCGATGAGCTGCATTAGGAAAGCCGAGGTAGGCATGTGCTTCGTCTTCTGGTTCAACAGGGCAAAGACATTGCCTTGATTGTCTGAAATGAGGCTGAGACGGGTACGAAGCAGAGATTTCCCACCCAAAGCCAGCAGGAAGTGGGTAAGAATCAACGTACCAAACATCTCGAGGGTCGCAATGCGTCTGGTTGGGTCACCATCCTTGTGAGCCCATGGATGGTCTTCGAGGGGTATCTTGTAGTGGAACCACCAGGTCTGTCCCTTTGATGGGTTCTCACGATCTGCAATCCATCCCCCAATGTAGGCCCCATCGTCCGGGTGTGCACTAGCATCACTGGCACCCCACCAATTGGAGGCAGGGTCATAAGGGCAGGGCTGGATCTGGGGGTTGTGAAGCAGTTGGAGGAGAAGCTTTGAGAAGGATCGTATGAGCTTGCCAGGCTTCTCTGAGGTAGTCGTCGCGGATTTCCATGCCCAAAATGGTTGAAGAAAAGGGCGACTGAGGGGCCAAGCTGCCGTTGCCCAATTCAATCGTCCCAGTGCTCTCTCGATCTCCTTCACCGTGAAGGTGTTGCCCGCCGCAATGGTCTGAAGGAGTGCCTCAAGTGTCTTCCTCTTATCTGGAGGGAAGTCGACCACGGGTCCGCATGGATTGACCTGGAAACCTAACCAGGTGTTGACCTCAGATAACACCGTCTTGTGCCAACTGAGGGGGCATCCCATGGCTGCTAAGAAGAGAAGCAGTTTTGCAGTATCCTCAGTGGCGGAGTCCGTCCTGAGGAGCCAACAAAAATCGTCCACGAACACAAAGCCCCAGTCTATGTGTGGAAACATCATGTAGCATAGTCTGAGGAGAAGTGCCGCCATTCTGCCCCAATAAAGTTGGGCGCTGGCCATACCATAGGTACCCACCTTGTTTATCCACCATTCCCCATCAAGTTGTGCTACCTGGTAGCGCCATTCGTTGGACTGGACCTTGATGCGGCGGTGTGCTTTTGAGACATCTGCTTTCAACAGTGCCCAGGTGGTTTGTTTGTGTGGAGGTTGCCATGCCAGGTCGGTGCAAGACGCTACCGTCCCAGATGTCTTCTCCTTCATGGTGGTTAACCAGTGAATGGCTTGAACACAGTCCATCACTGTGGGTGCAGTGGTCTTCTCAACTGTGTTCTGTTGGATGTGTGCGTTTGCATGGCCCCTGCTTCCGTCATAGATTGTGCGGATTTTATCTCCTTCGTCAATTGCTGCCAGGGGCCCTGGGCAGAGCTCATCTGGGGTGCATCCACAGCGGAGTGCAGCCTCCTCCTGTGTGAGTGGGCCCTCAACCATACCCATATCTACCTCTTCCACGAAGGTCTGTCGAACCTGAGAGGAGAAATCTTTTGCCGAGGGGTAGTTGTCCCTGCCCATGGGTATCAGGAGGTCCTCCCACAGAGGGGATTCCGCTTTGAGTTCTTCCTTGGTAGGCCATATGCCTGGTGACGTCCAGGTGGGTGTGGTGACACCTAGGGGGACTCCCTTGGCCACCCTTGTGGGGTAGGCTGCATCTGCATCTCCACCAGCTTCCGCTAAGGCTGAGATGAGGTTCAAATAGAACGGCTGGCCTGGCTCCATCTCCTCAGCAATTTGGTAGTCCAGCCCGATCCCTTGGGCAATGGCCCGTCGTGTATCCTGGAGAAGTTCCTTCGGGAACGGGTGTTTTCTTTCACCACTGTTGATGGACTGTTGGACGTCCTGTGCACATCCTTTTGCCAGGTGGCTAATGGAGTCTCCAATGTGCTTGATCTTGGACTGAGGTCTGAGCGGGGGAGGTCGTCTCCCGACTGAGGGCTTGCCTCCTCCATCCCGTAAGGGTCTAGTCTTGAAGCCTGATTGAACGATGATCGGGTCGTCATCCAAAGTCATCGTCTGGGAGAGGGGTACCGATGAGGAGCGGTCCGTCCGACCTGGAGGCTCCCCTTCCTGTTGACACCCGGTGAGTTGATGTCCTGTGTTTGGAATGCTCTGGATGATTGCTGCTGCTAGCCCTGTCATCAGTGCTGGCGGGTATCTGCTGAGGTCCCGGGAGGTCATCTCCATTGGCCTCAAATGTCCAGAGTGGTTGCACTGGAGGCCTTGCCAATGGTGAATTGGAAGGTCCGTTGAGAAGGTCGTACTCTTCTGTGCCCTTTGTCCCAGTCTGCACTGGTCCAGGTGGATCTGGCAGTGATTTACCTCTTTAGCCCACTCCTGGTAAACTCTAGTGGCCCATATCGATGAGCATTTTGCCGCCGTCGGTGCCCGACTACACTCAGCTGGGTCACGAGGATGCTCCAAGAATGAGTGGAATCCTTTGTTTTGCCTAGCTTTGGAGGCTAGGGCAGTGAGGACCATTTGCCGGAGCAGAAGGATACTGTCCTTGTCTGTGTCCAACTGTTCTTCCAGGGAGTTTGAGTCAAGGCCCCATGTCTGGGAGGGATCTCGTCCTCGTACAGGCCTGGGCGCTCCAGGCTTTGGAAACCATCGTAGGATGCTCCAGGTCCGGCAGTTGGGGCCGCCCCCCACAAATGACAACTGGCCCCTCGCGGCGGCGCAGCAGAGAGTTGAGTAAAACTCATCATCCAATATGTCGTTTGGGCCCTTTTCGGGTGGCCTCAGGATGTCCACGGCAAGGAGCCTGGGGGCCAGGTCCTGGTGTTGTTGGATGAGTACGTCATGCAGGGCTCCTCCGTCACTCCTGCCGGTGTAGAGGAGTAGGATGTCCCTCCCTTGGAGACTACCCGTGGGTTGTATGGTCCATACAAGGCGTTCCAACAGCCTGTTCGGAACCGATGAAAGCCATGGACAGTGCCCAAGCAGGGACTGTCCATTCATGATCGCCGGTGTGTCACTGAGTTGGTGACCATGAAGGTTGGCGTCCCTTTGACTTGGCTGGTCGTGTTGGGGAGTCAGGCCCAGAGCCTTTGTTGCCTTTCTGCCGGGCGACAGACTCATAGACCTCTCTGGTCCAAAACAGGGTGTCCTGACGTAGTTGGGCCATGGCCTCCTTGAGGCCCAGTCCCCCGTAGACCAAGTTGTGGATCTCCCTCCATGCGTTTCTTTCAGCGTAGAGGAGAACTTGTTCACTGGGAGGCGGTCTCCTGTCCGCAATGTCTTTCCCCCAGAACCATCGGTACCAGTCCTCTAGGTCCCTATGGGTGATGTTCAGCTTCGGCATGCTGGGAAAGGAGAGGATGGCCATGAGGAGGTTGGTTCGAAAGACCAGGTGCATGTGCTCCAACTGACGCCTCGTAGTTGGGAGTTTCCGGGTCTCCTCCTCTTCTTCCTTTTCCCATCCATCGACTGTCACCTTCTTGGTGGTCTTGATAGGCCGCTCATCCTGGTCTGGTAGGGCTGATATGATGTACTTGCTGGCAATCCAACCAACTTCTCCTTGCGCACAGAGTTTGAACTGTTTCTTCAGCAGGGCATCGGAGCCTTGATCCTTCAATCGTGGGAGTGGGAGCTGAACGACCACCGTCCATGTCTGCAGGAGCTGGCGTCGGTCACACAGGGCATCCAGTGAGGGCGCCGCCTGAGACGTCGTTGGCAGTAGCCCTGCAGGCCCCACTCGGCCCTGGTTCAGGCCCCCAGTGCCCAGCAACTGTTGTGCTTGCCGGACACATTGTGAGATGCGCATGGCCAAGTGATTTGTCTTCTCTTGTGTGATCAAAGCTCCCCCACGGTCTGTGTGACGAAAATGGAGGTCTGCTGGGGAGTTGTTCCGGGCCTCCGTGATGGTGGGCCATCGATCAGCAAGGTCCTCCACTGAGCGGTAGCCATCTGATGCCATCCTTGCCATGATGAAGTATGGGATCTCCTTGGACTGGAAGATAGTCAGGACTTGTTGGTGAAGCAATTCCACCTGATCCTTATATTGCTCAGGCACCGCATCAGGTGGGGAATCCAATACATCAGGCACCGCCGCCATGTTCGAAAAATAGGGCAGTGGTGGGTGGGTTTTCGAAAGTATTGGATCGCAGGGGGAAACAGCTTGAGCCAAAATGGCATAGCCATTTTGGCAACTATATCGTCAACACATTACTTGCTCTCCACAAGTTCCAAGCAAAGAAACAAGTGTTCCCGAATAGAATTGAAAATGACAGAAACGGAACAAAGCAACTGCACCGGTCAGTCAGCACCTTTTGTTATGCAGTTGGCTTTGCGGCTGTGTTTCTGTCAGATGCCAATCGCATCAATCACAAATGGTTTCACAGAAACTCTGAACTGCAGTGGTGGTGTCACACGTCAAAATCCACCCACACCGAAGGTCGGGT